GGTGGTTCGGGTCAGCGCAGGGCACCGAGCCGCTGTCCACGCAGCCCCTGGACGGAGCAATATTCGGACCCATCCTCGACGTTGAGTCCCGCGACCAGGACGGACGGACTCTGATCGTCCGGGTGGGGGGCGAGTGGCTTGAAGTGGGGGGTGATGGGACCAGGACGCTACGCGTCGACATCCTACGCGGCAGTGCGGCACGCCAAGCAGCCGCCTTCCTGGGCGGGGCCCCCGACGAGGCACACGCGCCGCAGGAGGCACCGGCCCCCGCCAGCTCCTGGCTCGGCGCCGACCCCGGGAGCGCCACAGCGACGTCCGCGGAAGGGACACAGCCCAAGTCCACGCCCGAATCCTGCACGCCACGTACGGTCGCCTACGAGCCGCCGCCGTTCCAGCCGACCAAGGAGGATATCCCCGACTACACCAATGACGACCAGGAGGAGGAACAGAAACAGAGGCTTGCAGAGGTCACAAGCACGGTCCACGTAGTCTCACCCTCCACAGACCTTGACACCAGCAGCGCGCACCAGGACAGCCCAGCCCGCGCACCCATGGGACAGACCGTGCTTGCGACGGCTGCCGCTGACGACCGTGCCCTGCACGCGCGGCCCAGAACCGCGGCCTCAGGGGCCAGTCGCGCCGCGCCCAGCCCCCGCCCCTCGGACGCACACGGGCGCGAGCGCGGCAGGGCGTGGGTCCAAGCCCCTCGGGAACCGTGCGACAGTGACTTGGGCGTAGGGTGGGCCCCTTGGCACCAGCAAGGCACCAGCGATCGGTGCCGAGCCAGAGCGCGCAACCGCGACCACGACCGCGATCGTGACAGGAACATAGGGTGGGCCCCTTGGCACCAGCAGAACGATCGACGCAACCCTCAGCACAAGGACGATCGCCGCTATCCTGATCCCGTCCGCCCCTGGGAAGCCCGCCGTGTCAGCTGGCCACGACGCCCGCGCGAGACGGCGGCCACTCACCTGAAGAGGCTGAAGGCCGATGGGGGCTATCACTTCACCGCAGCCTTGCACTCGTCGTGCAGGCGTAGGTATCAGGAGCAGGGCAAGGACAAGTCCAAGGACCAAGTCATGATCGACCCGACTTGCTGGCAGCCCAAGATGATCGACCAGTTTCTGGAGGACATGGCCAATAGCCACCATCACGTGGAAACGTGGGCCCGAAACATTGGTGTCTACGTGGGCTGGGAACGGGAGAGCGCCCTGTTCCAGGAGTTCCAGAAGAAAACGGAGGTAACCAAGGGGGAAGTACGCGGAGATGGCCAGGCACGCAGCTCTGAGCACACCGACAACTGGGCCGGGAAACGCCCCAGGCGCTGTCCAGCTCTGGCGCTGGCCACCCCTGACGGCGCACAGGGTGCCGCACCCGGCATCTCTTGATCCCTGCAGGCCCTTGGCGCTGCGCGTGCAACCAGCACGCCGCTGGCCACGCGCCCATCCTGATCCCCCCCTTTCCCTTCCCCCTTCGCACCTGGACTTGGGACCGTTAGCCTCCCTGATCCCACGCCTGTTCCGAGGTACCAGGGCTGGGGCTGAACGCCCGGCCGCAGAAGCCCGGCAGCCCACGGGCTCGGCCGTCTAATACGGGCGCAGGGACTGGGCTCTCACGTGTGTTGCCTGGGCCGCGCCTTCGGCTACCGCCGCCCTCCTCCCCCCCGCTTCCCACTTGCATTTGGGGCCGTTAGTCCCCCTGATCCGCTGGGCCTACCTGATCCGGACCGCCTGGGCTTCATTTCATGCTCGGCAGGGCGGCGTCCGCGTCCTCCTCCTCCCTCCTCCTTCTGTCAAATGGTATGGGGACCGTTAGTCCCTCCTGATCCCGCAGGGTGCCCTGATCCACCCGGCCACGTGTTACTTCTGGCGCGAGGGCTGGCTCGCTGGGCTGGCCTTTCTCCTTCCTGCCCGCTTCTCCCCCCCCGCTCGCTACCCCCCCTCCCATGGCGACAGCGCCCGGCACTGCGCGGCTCCGGCCCGGTGCCGGGCGCCTGCTCCTTGCCGCCTCGGCGGCCACGCTGGTCTTGGCGCTGCGCGGCTCAGGCCCGGCCCTTGACGCTGCGGATCGGCAGCGCATCGTGTGTGGCTTCCGCCCGCCCTCGCGCGCTTGCCGGTGCAGGGCAGACTTTTTCCTTGCAGCACACTGGCATCGTGTCGGTCATCGGCGGCAAGTTCACGGTTCGCCTGGCTGCCGCGCATCAGGCTGCGGGCCCCCAAGTCCGTGGATTGGACTACCACGGCTGGTACTCTTGACATCACCTTGGTGGCACAACGTTGCGCTCCAACTGCGTGGTTCTTCTTCCTCTCGGACGTCGACTTGGTGAAGTGGCGCGTCCTCTACCGCAGTTTGCGAGGCTGGTGTTCTCGAAGCGCCGCTGACGGCTCCACCGCCGGCTTTCTTCCTCCCGGGACTTCGCCGCCGGGCTCCTGTCCAAGGTGTGCCTTTTCCTGCGCGTCCACTTCGGCGCCGCCTGGTCCCCCGGGCTTCGCCCGCTCCTGGCCGCGTGAGGCCCCGCCTTCTTCCGCCCTTTCTCTGCTAATTAGAGCTGTGCGCGTCCCGCTTAGCTTTCAGCGGAAGAGGTTCGCTCTCGCCCTGCATATCATAAAAGTATGTAGCGGCTCCAGGCGCGAACGCCATCGAGCCGCTCGCCAGCCTCAAGGCTGCCATGGCGGCGGCAAGTGAGGACAACTGGCCTGTGGGGCCGAGTTTCTCCGGTCCCCTCCGCTTAAAGCGCGGCCCACGTATTCGGGTGCGCCTGCTGACTATGTCGGTGGCGCACCCAGGCGCGGGCCTGCTGCAGAAGGCGTCGAGGGCCTCATTCCGCGCTGCCCGAGGGGCGTCCGAAGGCAGTGAGAACGGGGGATGATGGCGCGGGCAAGGGGAAGGACGGTGCGAGCAGAGGCAAAGGCGCGAAGAGGGCCAGCAGCCGGGCACCGGATGACCAACGAGAGCTTGGAGGCGCCGTGCTGAGAATCCGACGCAGTGGGATGCTCCGCAGAGCTCGGGGGCCGCCTCTTCTGGATGCACGCCGTTGCCGCGTCCTCCAGCAGCCCGATATTATCGGATTATCGGCAGGATGCTCCGTGGCGCTCTGACACGGAGGCGCCATGGCGCCAGACTTGGCGTGGGCGCGACGCCGCGGAGCCACGGGCCACCGATGCTTCGCCCCGTGGCAGGGCAGTGCCAGTGACTGGTGTTCATCATGAACGTTGGGTACGGATGGTTGGAACAACGACAGCTGGGGCGCCCGTGACCGATGGTGAGGGTGGTGAGAAGAGAACGAAGAGGTGGCCAGCGACGATGTCGCTGGGCATCCTCTCGAGTTCATGAATTTTGCGGCTTGACGGCGTCCGTCTGGGGCGGTTGAGCCGCCGCGAGGCAAGGGTGCAATGCGCCAGTGTCGAGCGCGCGGCGAGTCAGTCGGGGGCCGGACTGCCGGGCGCCGCTGGCGCTGGCGCTTTTAAAAACACTTTGGGGCGTTGCCTAAAACAGGAACGCCCGTCCACGCGCGCGGGGCGCGCCGGGCCGGCCGCGGGGGGGGTCGTTTTAGGCGACCCCCCAGGCCCATTTAGCCCCGGCAGCGATGCTTCCGTAGCTGTGCGTGTTGGCTCTGTTTGGAAAAAGACAGCGCCCCGCCCGCGCGGGCGCGCGCCCTCCCCGGGCGCGCCCTCTCGGCCGGCCAGGCCTTTTTTACTTGTGGGGTCAACCCAAGCTTAGCGGACACTTGTGCCGCGCTCATGGCGTGGAGAGCTACGTCTCCTACTTCACTTTCTCCGATGATAAACCTGAGCAACAGGCTGTAAGGAGGCGATGAAGAACAACCGATTACTGTGACCAAAGATATGCCAATGTCATCAAAGGGCCGGCAACATACAAAACGGTTCCAGGGGAGAGGGCCTGGGGAAACATATTCGGGGAATCGCCGCCGCCGCCGCCGGTCGTCGTCCCACTGGCACTGGCTTCTCCCTCTCGCCTTCCCCCCGTTCCCCCTCTTCCCTCTCCCCCCGCCGCTCCTCCCAGTCCCCACGCTCCCCCCAGTCCCCCTCTTCCTTTTCTCCCCGCCGCTCCTCCCGCCCCCCCCCCCCCCCCCCCCTCCGTGGCCCTTTTCGGCCCGCGCGCGCACCGCGAGGCCTCGCGGCTCGCCCCCCCCCCCCCCGCCCCGCCCTCCCCCCCCCCCTCCCCGCGGCGCCCCAGACGTCCGCCGGAGTGAATTCCACCAGCCCACGGCCCCAGGAGGTCCTCATTCCTCCTCCTCCTCCTCCTCCTCCTCCTCCTCCTCCTCCTCCTCCTCCTCCCCCTCCTCCTCGTCAGTCCTTCGGGGGGGCAGGCCTCCGCCCTGGATCCGCTGCTTTTTGGAGGGCCCCCTGGCCCCGAGATGGACCCCAGAGGCCGACATCGAGACAAAACGTCTGGATTCCGAAAGGTGCCGACGCCACCACTCGTTGGACTTCTCCCGGGGTGCGGTCTGACCACCATCTCGGGGCGAATCCGGCCGGCCCTGGCGGCGAGGGGCGCCCAAGAGGCCCAGAAAGGCTTTTTCTCTTCTGATCGGTGGCGGTGGCCGGATTGCAAAACCCCATCGTAGACGTTTGGGGCGCCATCCGCCGCCCAGGTTCGGGGGGCCCACCCGCTTGCAGGGGCCCCGGGCTGGCCAGCGATGGGCCGGGGAGCGTCGGGGCGGCGCGCGCGGGGCACCGCTTGCCGCTCCCTCGTCTCCCCTTGGGTCCTCATGTGCCCTTTTCGTGCCTCCTCCTCGTGCCCTGCCCCCCTTCGTGCTCCACCTCTTGGTCCTTCTCGTCCCCCGTCTTTATCCTCCTGAACGCACTCACGGTTTTCGGAGTCTTCTTTTCTCCGTATGCCTTCGCCTCTGCATTCATCCTCCTTCGCCTCCGCTTTGGGTTCCGTCCTCGTGCTCCTGCCACTCTGGAGATCCTTGCTCGTCCATCTCCTCATCGCCCCCCATTCCTGTCCGCGTTCCCGTCCACGTCTGGATCTTCCTCCCCCTCTCCTTTTTTCTCCCCTGCATCCTCCTCGCGCTCTTCCTCCATGTCCCCTTCTGCTTTTCCTGATCCCGCCTCCGTCTTTCTTCCTCTTCGTTGTTCTCCTCCTGCCCCGTTGTCCTGGGCCGCAGGACTCCGTCAGTTGGCGCGGCGGACGATCTCGGCCTATGTTCGCATGGCTGCCACCGTGGTCCCGCGCGGCGTGTTCGCGAGCCGAAAGGTCTACGAGGTAGGGGATGGTGCACGAGGAGGAACGAGGCGAGGTAGCGAAAGTGAGGGTGGCGAACTTAGTGGTCCATATGAGAAGCGAATGTTGTCATGAGGTAGGTGGCAGCGAAGGTGGTGGTCCGCAAGGAATTCGGAGAATTGCAGGGAAGGCAGAGAGGGTGGTGAGGAAAACGGGAACTGGAGGAGGAGGAGCGGGATGATGATGATAATGATGATGATGGTGTTGGTGGTGGTGGTGGTGATGATGCTGATGATGATGATGATGATGATGATGATGATGATGATGATGATGATGATGATGATGTTGATAGTGATGATGGGAGGGCGTGGATAGTGATGCTGCTGATGATGATGATGCTGATGACGATGCTGATGCTGATGATGATGATGATGATGATGACGGTGATGGTGATGGTGATGGTGATGCTGCTGCTGCTGATGATAATGATGATGATCATGATGATTCTGATGCTGGTGGTTATGATGATGATAATAATGCTGATACTGATTATGCTGCTGCTGATGATGCTGCTGCTGATGATGCTGATGAGGATGATAATGACGATGATACTGATGATGATGACGATTATTCTGCTGCTGATGCTCATGATGTGATGATGATGTTGCTGATGCTGTTGATGCTGATTATGATGTTGTTGCTGATGATTTTGCTGCTGATGATGCTGATGATGATGGTGGTGGTGGTGATGATACTGATGATGCTGCTGCTGCAGCTGCTCATGTTGCTGATGATGATGATGCTGATGATGCTGATGATGATGATGATGGTGGGGGTGATGATGACGATGACGATGACGATGACGATGACGATGATGATGATGATTTTGCTGATGATGATTATGATGATGATGATGATGATGATGGTTCTGGTGGTGGTGGTGATGATGATGATGCTGATGCTGATGGTGATGATGATGTTGATGCTGATGAATGATGATGATGATGATGCTGATGCTGATGCTGATGATGATGCTGAGGAGGATACTGATGCTGCTAATAATGATGATGCTGCTGCTGACGATCATGATGCTGTGATGATGATGGTGATGCTGATGATGCTGCTGCTGATGATGCTGGTGATGACCATGATGTTGATGTTGATGATGATGATGATGATGATGATGATGAGGATGAGAATGCGGATGAGGATAAGGATGAGGATGATGATAGTGATGATCATGACCATGATGCTGATGCTACTGAGCATTCTGATGATGATGATGCAGATGATGATGCTGCTGATGCTGATGGTGATGCTGATGATACTGCGGAGCCTGATGATACTGACGATGAGGATGACGACGATGCTGCTGCTGCTGATGATGATGATGATGATGATGGTGATAGTTATGATGATGCTGATGATGATGATGATGACGCTGATGATGTTGATGATGATGATGCTGCTGATGATTCTGATGATGACGATGATGATGATGATGATGATGATGATGATGATGGTGGTGGTGGTGGTGATGATGATGATCGTGATGCTGACGATGATGATGATGATGATGATGATGACTATGATGATGGTGGTGATGATGATGCTGATGATAATGCTGATGATGCTGATGACGATGATGATGATGCTGATGATGATGATTGTGGTGGTGGTGGTAATGATGCTGATGATGATGTTGATGATGATGATGATGAGGATGAGGATGAGGATGATGAGGATGCTGATGATGATGATGATGATGAGGACGATGAGGATGAGGATGAGGATGAGGATGATGATGATGATGATGATGATGATGATGATGATGGTGGTGGTGGTGGTGGTGATGATGATGATGATGATGATGCTGATGCTGATGCTGATGATGATGATGATGATGATGATGATGATGATGATGATGATGATGATGATGATGATGATGATGATGACGCAGTACTGCTCTGCCGCCAAGCTGACTGACGAGTTTGGGCACGCTGAGGTTTGCAGCCTGACCATAGTGTCTGGAACCATACCCCCCGCTCAACGTGCACGAGCATCGTAGCGGGTCCGAAGGACGGTGCGGAACACGTGTCTGACAGACAGCGTACGTCTGCAGGCCCCGCTCGCGCCTGGCAGGCGGGCGGTGAAACCTGATGGCAGGCTGCGCCGACCAGCTGGCCTGCCTGCAGACGGCTGCCTGGCCATTGAGCCATGCCACCACCTTGGCGCCAGTTGGGGCGGTTCGCCGTGCTGCGCGGTCTTTTCCTCGGACCGCAGGGCGCGTCTTTCGGTCTTGAAGGACTG